AGCAGGGAAAGGGCAAGCTTTATGAACAGGTGATGCTGGAACAATTGCGTAGTCAGGCATTGTCTCATACTATATTTAAAAATTAACTCTCTTGGGCCAGCGGGTGGTGTGGTGGTTAAGGCACTGGCTGCTCCCTCATGGCTGACTGTGGTTTGAGTCTCAGACTTGGCAGCTTGCTTTCTCATTTTTCTCTCTCTCTTTCTGGCAAGTACATGTGCCTTGTAGCAATTAAAAAGATGATAATAAATAAATAATTTCTTAAAGAAAGAAATGAACTCTCAGGTCGGCTAGGTGGTACAGGGATAGCATGCTGCCCCGTGATGAGGGATCTATGTGGGAGGAAGGTCACAGGTTCAGTTCCCTGGTCGGTCTATACGTACCAGGTACAAGAACTCATGATCCAGCTGTCTGGCTGGCACTTCATCTCAGTACAAAGTACTTGCTTTTCAAAAGATACTGACAAAAAATGAAAAGGCATGCCACAGACCGAGAGAAAATACTGCAACACATATATCTGCCAGAGGGATTTATCTGGACTGTAAAGACCTTTCAAGGGGACCAGCAGTTGGCGTAATGGCTATGTTGCTGGGCTCCCATGTAGTCGACCACGGTTCGAGTCCCAGATCCGGTGGCTTAAACTCAACGCCTGGCACGTGTGCGTGTGTGCCCAAGATCCTGAGGGGAGAAGGGATTGCAGAGTGGCCATCCCCCATAGGGGGTGATTTCTTGCTTTCTGTCTCTTTGTCTCTGTCTTTCTGGCAAGCCCACGTGACCTATAGCAAAAAACACTCAAAAAAAAAAAAATCATCCACCACGCCCCCTCCCCCCCAATCCTTGCCTCAGGCTCTGCCCCTGGGGGAGGGACAAAAAAAAAAAAAAAAAACCTTTCAACAACTTAAAAAAATTGATAAAATATTTGAATAAATGCTTGGTAAGTAGGTAATGTGTCCTAGAAGCCAGGATGAGCCTGTGTGTGTTTCTCTGACTCTAGCCTGTGCCTCTCTACGGGTCAGGGGATGTGGCTTCTTCATCGCATGTCCCTGGTTCCTAACGTAATAGAGAAAACAGCTCTCTGTTTATTCAGTGGATGGGTCTGTGGTTACCTCGTGCCCGAATGCACAGTGAGTCAGTTGACAGAGGAACTGGGCCAAGAGCCTATGTCTCCTACCCTTAACAGCCTCAACCCAGTCCTGTGTTTCCCTAGCCATGGCCTGCCATGGACCTGCCTTCTCCTCATTGAAGAGCTCTAAGGTTATTTTCATTCCAAAGAGTGGAAGGTTTCAGCTCATTCCTGGAATAACTGACTTTTCATTTTGCGTTCCTCCTCGTGCCACCCCCTCTACCCGGGGCTTTACCAACTACTGCTGTTTGGTATGAAAGGGCTGTTTTGTGAACCACATGGGCCTCTGGACTGACGTCTTTGGACAGAGTTCACCATGCACGGCCACAATGGGCAAGTTGCTAGCAGGACTTCAGGTCCTGTGAGCGGTCCATGTGTGGGCTAGCCTGGCCTGGCCACTCAGC